CCCTTCCCCCCAATTCCTCAGAATCATGCTTCCCCGGCCAGAGCCCTGGTATGCATCCCAACCACTAAGCCCATGATTACAACAGCTTCCTGCTTCTCCGCTTTCAACTTCTGTGCGACACTGTCCTACAAACAGCGTAATAAATAAGCTTCTTCTCCCAGCCCTACTCAAGCTTTAATATTTACCACATTATTTACCCCAAAGCTCTCAAAACAGGCACTTCTGCTTTCCTTGAATCAATAAAGTAGCTAAACAAGAAGTATTGATAATTGTCAGGTTGTTAGAGAGGGGTGTATGTGTGTGAGTGTGTGAGTGTGTGTATGTGTGTGTGTGTGTGTGCACGCATGCACATATGACATTTAAAGTGAGGTTTTGTGGAAGTTTTTTGAAGAGAATTTGAAAGAAGGCTTTGATCTCCCTTGCCTCTCTCCAGACTATCATAAATTACTAGTATTTATTTTACTGAAACTGCTTCTGAGGGGGGGAAAAAATCAATAAGACATAGGCCACTTGAGTAAATATAAACACTAATTAGAATTCTTCACAAACAGGTACTCTTACATCCAAAGTATGCAGCCATAAAATGTTTTTTCATTCTTAAGACTAGAAATATTTTCAAATAAAAATAAGGATATATGTGGAATATAAACCTTCTGGCAACTGGGCTCTGGGCTGCTTCATATCAATTCTCTGTCCTGTGCTTGCATGTGTGTTTTGTGTGCAAGTATGTGTGAACATGTGTGTGCATGTGTGCACTGTGTGTGCACATGTGTGTGCATGCCTCCAAGATGGGAGACATTGGCAGGCAACCAGAAGATGAAGGGAGACAAGCTTTGCGGGAGCTCTTGCACCATTAGCATGCTGCCTCAGCGCTGTGACTCCGGCTGTGCCTACATCCCCTACAACTAGCTTCTGCCCCACAGCCCCTCCTCACAGCCACAGCTCCTCTTCCCAGGCTTGGAAACAGTTCCCTTCCCGTGCCCTCTCAGGAGTGGTAGCAGTACCCTAAACTGTGTTCCCTGGATGCTAAAACATTCCTGTGAGTTCCCTTAACCCTGACCATCCTTCTTTAAACACCTGCTTTGTTAAATTATGTTCAGAGCCTCCTCTGTGTGTGCTCCGACTTAACTGAGTCTCTCCTTACCCAACTTCAGGCCACACTCTCTCCAGCTCACTGCCATTCAAGGTCAAGAAAGCCAAGTGCCCTCACAGACAGACCACCTGCGCAGCCTCAGCTCTCATTCATCATTCTCAACGTGGCCTAAGATATCCATCTAATGGCCCAGCCCATTCATTTAAAATAGACTTTTTAGTTCAGCAGCTCTAAGCTTTCTTAGATTTATTCAGCCCTGTGCTACCACATACTAGCCTGAAGGAAATTATGTCAACTTTTTCCTTTGCAACCTGGCAGGCACCAGTGTTCTGTGTGTAATAAATAAATACCACACAAAAAAGCTTAAAAATAATTCAAATATTTCCTTGGCTTAAGTGAAATTCATTCTTTCTTTCCAAGATAGAGATCAAGCACCAGTGGTTCAAAGAACCTGCCATCTGGAATCATGTCACCTTGTGACCACTGTGTGGGTGTTAAAGACCTCTCAACCCTTCCAGCTACAGGATGGGCGGAACAGCAAAACCAATCATATCAATGTGCACAAGACGACAGCCCAAAAGGGGCGATCAAAGTTCTTCTAACACTGGGAAGGAGAAAAAGAGAGGTAAGAAAAAAATCCCCAGGTAAGAGAAAAAATAAATATTCCTTGTTTTCTCTCCCTTGAACTACATTTCATATCCATCAGCAGATGACTTATTATGGGTTTCCTAACAGTGACCAAGAACTACAAAGGAATCTCCTCAGCCTGTTGCTTATTTGCCTTAGTACTAAAATGGAAAAGTAAACAAACTAACACTCCACCATCTTTGTTGTCTAATGCAAGGCTAATAACTGGCTCTTAGCTACTCTATAAACAAAGTTGCAATCACTCATTATGCAATAAATTCTCTAACTAATTTAAAATGTTTGGCTCACTAAAGACTGTAAAACAGATGTCATATTAAAGTCCCTAATTATGAATGATAATTCCTTGATAAGACTCCTCAACCATGCCAACAATTAATTTACTAAGGTGAATTTTAAATATGAATTCAAATTTTGGCAAAAAATTAAAGTAAATGAGGTTGTCTCAGCAAGTCCTCCATTAACATGTCCCCCTTCACCAGAAAAAGAAAAAGAAAAAAGAGAGAGCCAGGACCGGTTTGGCTCAATGGATAGAGCGTCGGCTTTGGAACTGAAAGGTCCCAAGTTCGATTCCAGTCAAGGGCATATCCCCAGTAGGGGGTGTGCAAGAGGCAGCTGATCGATGACTCTCTCTCATCGATGTTTCTGACTCTCTATCTCTTCCCTTCCTCTCTGTACAAAATCAATAAAATATATTTAAAAAAAAAAAAAAGAAAAGAAAAAGAAAAAAGAGAAAAACATGCACATTTAAAAAAAAAAAAACTATCAGATGCTTCTGGTTGCAAATAAGACCCTATCAGAAGTGCCCGCAATAATTCAAACATGCATTAGGTCTTTGAGTAAGAAGTCCAGAGATAGATCACAAACTCAAACAGTTGAGATTCTCACAGATCCTCAGCAGTGTGAAATGACTGCCAGAGCTCCTCCAGACAATGCACCGTCACACGGCAGCAACCTATGCACTTCCCGCTTGGAAGGGAAGGACAGGAGGAGATGACTTCAGTTGTAAGCCAGTTTCTTGTCAGGAATGAAAACCTTACCTACCTCTCAGTGGGCAGAACAGACTCAAAACACTGACCCTTAATTATATACTGACCAGAGAGTGAGGTGCCATCCCTGACTTACATAAATATATTCCCTGTGACTGGGCCCAAAAAAATGTTAGCAACAAACAAGATAAGTAAGCTTTTGGACAGGTAAGCAGCAAATGTAGCTTTCAGAGACTATTTGAGTACAAGTACTTGAAGCCAAATATTCGCTTCAAATTCAGAAGGGGAAAAAATCAAGTTTGGAAAGGCTTGGGGAGAGCAATCCTACACTCAATACCCTACGGCCGTGGTCGGCAAACTGTGGCTCGAGAGCCACATGCAGCTCTTTGGCTCCTTCGGTGTGGCTCTTCCACAAAATACCATGGTCTGGGTGGGTCTATTTTTAAGAAGTGGCATTAGAAGAAGTTTAAATTTAAAAAATTTGGCTCTCCAAAGAAATTTCAATAGTTGTACTGTTGATATTTGGTTCTGTTGACTAATGAGTTTGCCAACCACTGCCCTTCGGGAACCAAGCAGGAGCGGTGATGAAGGAGGCACGCTGGGTGGGAACTGTGGAGCTCTGAAGAGGGTGTGTGTGGCCTCCAGTTCTTGACCTTATTTTCAAATATTAGCAAACTACAGCAAAACTTAAAAATACACAGACGTTCTTTTTCTAACCTTCACAAAAATATAGATAAGGCTAGCTTCCTTCACATAACAGAAATTAGGACCTGAACCGCTTACCATGTACCAGGTATTTTTTACAGTGCCTGAGACATCTCATTTCACTCTTTAAAATAAAATCCTATGCATTAGTACCATCACTGCCCTTACTCTTACGACGGAGGGAACTGAGCCTTAGAAATGAATGCAATTTCCCACAACCACATAACTACTATGGTGGTGAAGCGGGGACATTGTACACAAGACTCCAAATGACCTGCTGAGATCTAGGGGTCAGAGAGGCTGGACACAGCTGATGAAATGGGTCGCTCTTGCCCTGATTCCTACAGTCGCTTAGGAGGGAACAAACACAGCTTGGAGGCCAGCTATTTCCTTAAAAAGCAACCATGTACACCTGATTTTTCTCAGCCTTCTTTGCCTGATTTCTATACAACACAGAAAATATTTTTTTAAAACGCACAAAACAGCACTAACACTCAGGGCTTAAACATTTCTGTGGAGTGAGAATTAATTAGTAACATGGTTATAAGATGCTTCAAAATTCATTAGATCTTAAAAAAGCCTCCCAACTCCAATGAATGATTTTGTCCTACATGGCACCGTGACTTGTGAGTATAGGGAGAGAAAGAGTATGGGCACACCAGTGTAAATACACCACTTACCTACCTCTAGGTAAAAGACCTATGAGCAGCAGGTATCTGATATAAAAATTTTTAAAAGCCTCTCCTGGGGTTTTTATAATATGTAAATTATAGGCTCTCTGCACTTACTTTTCCACTCCATCCTAATCCAAAAATTTAAAATCATTATTAACCTACTTTTCAACAACCTTTTCTGCTATTTGTTGAATGTCTCTCTCTTTTCCACTGTGAGCTCCTGTCATGTACTTATGGATCTCTGTACTTGGTGATAAACAACAAACATTTGTTGACTGAATAACAAACATGATAAAAGTTCTGTTTTCCTATTACTTTCTACAGTGACACAGTCCACTCATATAAGACATTTGAGATATAAAGCACACTGATATGAATGAGCTCTTCAAAAAATTTCTCTTCCATAGTTCTGTTCAGCTTTAACAGGAGAGTTTCATAATAAACAATTAAAAGATCAATTTGTTATTAGCATTCATCTTCCACGTAGCATACAAAATGTTAGATCCAATGATACTTTTCCTTACATATTCCAATTGCTACATTTACCTTTACTCATCATTCAGTGTTAGATTTATATATATAAAAGCCTAAGCAACCCACCAGTCGCAATGATGCACAGTGACCACTAGGGGGCATATGTTCAATGCAAAAGCTGTCCCCTTGTGGTCAGTGCACACACAGCCAACCTCCAGCAGCCCCTACCTCAGCCAGCCAACCTATTGTGGCCTCAATAGGCCCCGATCACCAACCAGGCTGAGGGACCCCACCCGTGAACGAATTCGTGCACTAGGGTTCTAGTTATTAAATACTGGGGGGAAATCTTCTACACTTTTCCCATCAAAAAAAAAAAAAAAAAAAATAGCCCCATATTAGGTATTTAGTTCCATGTTGTACCAGCATTCATATCTTTAAACTTCTGCTTTAGTTCAGAAGGAGTAAGACGATACTGATCAAGACCATCATTCCAATAAATTCGGTCCAAGACTTGAAGATCTCCTCCAATGAGCCAATCTCCTTGTTCCATAACCATCTAATGGGAAGAAAGAGAAAATAATTGTTTTAAATAGAAACCAAGAGAAAAATAAGAACATTGTTCTCATACAAGCTAGCTATGGTTATAAACTTTTACTTTCATCTCAAGGTCAATGGTAAGTACATTTAGCATAACAACTGAATTGGGATTGAAAATGCTACAGAATTAGAGTATCCTATATAATAAAATCCTATTGATAATATGCATATTGTTCAGTCAGGAATTCGACTGCTCGCTATGATGTGTGCTGACCATCAGGGGGTGGCACAGAACATGGCAGGCATTGGGGACACGGGGCTGGCAGCGGGTGGCAGTGGAGGCCCTGCAGCCCTGATGGGCCCCAATGAGAGCAGGACAGAGGTTGGGTGGTGGAGCAGATGAGCAGGCCAAGGTGGGTGGGAACAGGGGCCCATCACCCCACCAATCGCCCTGCAGACTGTGACCAGAGGCAGCAGCGGGGGCCCAGTCCCAATCAATCACCCCACAGGCGGGATGGTGGAGCAGGTAAAGGGGTGGCACCAGGCCACAGTGTGGTGCCAGGCAGAGCTGCAGGGCTGCGGGTGCAAGCTGGGGCCCAATTCCTGCAGGCCACCCCAAGGGACCCCACCAATGCACGAATTTGTGCACTGGGCTTCTAGCATTCTATAATTTCTCAAAGGACTTTTGAAACAACTAGCCCATTTTAAAAGAAAGGGCAAACAAAACCAACATGAGTAATTAAGACTTTTAAGTAATAAAAACATTATTTTCATTACTGTATATTGATTGACAAAAATTTGTAATCCTAGATTAGCCCCTATTTTGTGCTCTCCAATCCTAAACTTTTGAGCAATTAAAGTAATGATGACAGAGTTGGGCAAAGAGTCATGCTTTCCAATCTCCACACCACCTCAAATGCAGCTCTCGGCAAGCGGAGCCCACTCCAAGTTTCTTGAGGACAAAGAAAAACACTGTCTACCTCCAAGTGTCACTAAAAGGACCAACTAACAGAAATGTGGTTTGAGAAGCATAACTGCATGCAAATGGTTATTATGACTGAACAAAGTCCTAACATTTCAGGGCAGAATGGTAAGCCCTCTAGCTTCCCAAGGTCCTCTATCCCACTGGACACCAGCTAGTTCTCAAACACTGAATCTCTGCTGAGAGCCCTGGCTCACTCAGCCCCCGCCTATCCAGGCACCCTGCTGGTGCCTGAAGGCTGCAGACCAGGTACCAACTAATACCAAGAAGTCTACAGATCACTCTTAAAAAATGGTTCAAAATACAAACAGTACTGTTTGTTGAGTGATTAAAAAACAAACGTTGCCCTACCCAATTTGGCTCAGTGGATACTTCATCGGACTGAAGGTTTCTGGGTTGCATTCCGGTCATGGACACAGACCTCAGCTGGAGGCACAATCCCCGGCCCTTGTCAGGGGCCTTGTGGGAAGCAACCAATCCAATCAATGTGTCTCTCTCTGTCTGTCTCTCCCCTCCCTACCACTTTTTCTAAAAATTGAAATATCCTCAAGGGAGGATTAACAAATAAATAAATAAATATTTCTTCCATTAAATTCATATGAAAGGTACCCTAGAGTGCCCTAACTGGTTTGGCTCAATGGATAGAATGAAGGCCTGCAGACTGAAGGGTCCCTGGTTCAATTCTGGTCAGGGTACATGCCAGGGTTGTGGGCTCGATCACCAGTAGGGGGCATGCAGGAGGCAACTGATCAATGTTTCTCTCTCAGCATTGATGTTTCTATCTCTCTCCCTCTCCTTCTTCTCTGAAATCAATAAAAATATTTTTTAAAAATTAGATATTTTTGCCGAAACTGGTTTGGCTCAGTGGTCAAGCATCGGTCTGCGGACTGAAAGGTCCCGGGTTCAATTCCGGTCAAGGGCATATACCTTGGTTGCGGGCACATCCCCGGTAGGGGGTGTGCAAGAGGCAACTGGTCGATGTTTCTCTCTCATCAACGTTTCTAGCTGTCTATCTCTCTCCCTTCCTCTCTGTAAAAAATCAATAAAATATATTTTTTTAAATAGATATTTTTAAAGTACTCTCTAGTGATATAGGCTACATAGTATCTGAAGCTCACATACCAATAACCACTATCTGCTATGATTATGGAAAATGGCTTTGGCGCCCAAAGTGATCTAGATTAAAATCAGACCCTCATCCCATCTATTGCCTGCATAATTTTGGTCGAGACATGTATCCCCGGTAAGTCTCACTTTGTCCATATGTTCAAAGGATATGCCACCATTCTACAGGTTTGCCATGTGACTCAAAGAATTTACATGAGCATGTGTTGTAAGCTATGTCCCTTGTTACTATTAACTGTAAAATTTAATTTTGAAGGAATGCCTGACACCATCACCTCCTTATTTTCTTAGAAAATACATCTCATTTTTAAAAAGTTATCCATTTTAGTCCTTCATGAGACAAAAAAAAATGAGATTTAGCACATTTCCCATATCTAAATAGCTGCTACAGACCTTTTCTAGGTAAAGTTACTACAATTTCACTTAGTTTCTCTCAGTGCTCAAAGTGTACTTTAAAACACCTAGCAAGTAACAGAAGTTTTACTTCCATGAAAACATGTCACATATAAAGTACACAAGGCTCTTTGAGGAAACTAATTCTATTGCACTGCTCCCATACCAGAAGCACAATGTTCAATTAAAAACCCAGACAAGACAAAACCATCCTGACCTCCCATCCTACCTGTACGGCCATGACTAACAAAAAAAATGAGATTTAGCACATTTCCCATATCTAAATAGCTGTAAAAGAGAGTTAGTCTTTAGCACATTTCCCATATCTAAATAGCTGTAAAAGAGAGAGAGATGGTTCTCTCTCATCAATGTTTCTAACTCTCTACAGCTCCTAACTAAAAGTTAGGAGCCCCAAGCATACAGACTGTGCTTGCGTGTCCAGCACCAGCATCTAGCTCGGTGCCTCGTGTACAGTAGATGCTTAAATATTTACGGAACAAACATTTATCTGGACCAGGTGACATGACCATATGCTCATCACACTCACCTAAGATCCAGTCTCCCTTCTGCAAACTAGTAACAATGTCAATGGAACCACCCATAGACAGGGAATGCCCACGTTTTCAGCACAGATGTTATTTGTAATGAATCGAGATAAAATGCAGCCAGGATTGTACAGGACCTTGATGTAGGGGTGGTTCTTGCATGTCGTTCCCCACTGGCGGGCACAACGCTCCTCCTTCCGGTGCTCAAAGAACTCGGGGTGGCGAAGAATAGCCACACGGCGGCCCTCGTACATCAGAGCAAATGCTGTACAGCCGTCCAGCCTCTCTTTATCTTCATGAGTAGCTGACAGAACTATAGGCACTGACAAGTTAATGACACCCCCTGCAGGGCACAAAGGAACACACAGCTTGGATTACTCAACAGGCATCACGTAGCCTCATCTCACACAGTGGACACTAACCATATTTAACGGGTGCCTGGCACAGAAAATCAGGAGACAGAATAAGCAGTAGAGGCTAAAAAACACAGCAAAAATTAAGGAAATCAACAGTGTGTGTAGCAATACTCACAACAATTCATGAAACTGTCTTTTGGGGTGAAAATATGGGATAGAATCACAGAAGTAAAAGAAACTGTTTAACAAGTAAAACTCAGCTGGTTAAGTTTAACATCACCAGCAATATTCTAAAATACCTCCAATATATGAATAAAATAAAGCAATATGGTTCAGGGCCTTTTAAAAAAAAAATTTTAATTCATGCTGATAACTGCCTTTTGAGTGGCAAGTTGGTTAAGAATACTTGAGCCCTAACCAGTTTGGCTCAGTGGATAGAGCATCGCGGCCTGCGGACTGAAGGGTCCCGGGTTCGATTCTGGTCAAGGGCATGTTCCTTAGTTGCAGGCACATTCCCAGTAGGGGGCGTGCAGGAGAGGCAGTTGATTGATGGTTCTCTCTCATCGATGTTTCTAACTCTCTACCTTCTCCCTTCTTCTCTGTAAAAAATCAATAAAATATATTTTTGAATATACATAGATATCCTTGAGACAGAAAGACAAAAACACCTAAAAGGTTTTTATTACTTGGTTTTTAATCAGAATTGAACCCATGTCAGCTATCACTGGCCAGGACACAAAGGCAGTAGGTAATCAGTGCTCCTTTTAACTCAAAATGTGTGCCACTGAGACCAAAGGCACATTCTCAGTCCCCAACCTTTCAAGCTCCAAATGGTTTTGTTCCTACTCATCATGCACGGATTAGAAAAATAAAACACACTCTCAAATTGCTATGTGGATCTTATTTACACACCAAATAGAAACCATACTTTTCTGGGAAATCATGGCATAACTTCTTTGATAACTGTTTAGATGTTTTAAAATTACCACCACTACATACAGTGCAAAATGTTGTATCAAACCCAAAACTAAATCAATACTTAAGACACAGACCACAAAGACTTTACTATTAGTTCCAAGGAAGAAAATTGAAGAACAATATTTAATCCTTATGTTCTTGTGATAAAACTTACCTGGAAGAAGAATTAGAAATTACATTTTCTACTATCTATTTCACTCCCCAGTGAAAAGAAGTTATAATACAGAAGGGCATGGTAGCAATTGAGGAGGGTTCTGTGACATGGAACAACAGTATATACAACGTTTAAGGTAGCTGAATTATTATTACAATATACAATGTAATTATTATTACAATTATTATTACAAAATGTAACTTGGAGTGTTTTAAAAGAATAGGAAGAACCATCCTTTCAACCACTTATTTCAGGACTCCTAAACTTAAACTCCCTGGCTCCCTACTAGAAGGCCTGGCTTAAGCAAGCACAGGCTTCCATATAGCACGAAAATGATCAGGTGGCTATGGCACAGGGAAACTGTTTGCTTTTGAAATTCTTTTCATCCCTAATCCTCAGGTGTTCCTTCTCCCCATGCAATAAATCACAATCGGGGAAACAAAAATGGAAAACAGATCTCACTATCCACTTAAAATGTCTAGTACTGATATAACTTAGTCTTAAGACACTACCTTCGTTAAAACGGTACCACTACTTCCTATAAAGAGTGACGAATCCCTATAACTGTGCAATATCTCTTCCACACTCTGTGTACATGCAAAATGTCTTACCATCCAGAAGACAATCAAAATGAAGACACTGCAAGTACTCCCTCTCTCGCATAAAGCCATTCAGTGGGGTGGCCCAACCTTCTGCCAGAACCTGCACCCACTGCATGTCCACCTAGTAAAGGAGAAAGGAAATTTTCTATGTCATGTACTTGTGAACAAAAGCAGTAATGGCCTTTAGGAATTTAATTTTGAAAGTGATGGAAACAGCCGAAACCGGTTTGGCTCAGTGGTAGAGCGTTGGTCTGCGGACTGAAAGGTCCCAGGTTTGATTCCGGTCAGAGGCATGTGCGTTGGTTGTGGGCACATCCCCAGTAGGGGGTGTGCAAGAGGCAGCTGGTCAATGTTTCTCTCTCATTGACGTTTCTAGCTGTCTATCTCTCTCCCTTCCTCTCTGTAAAAAATCAATAAAATATAAATAAATAAAAAAGAAAGTGATGGAAACAAACATCTCAAGAATGATTACAGATTATACAAATCTAATAATTAGGGCACTAGAAAAATACGCATTTTTCCGAGTAAGTTTAAATAACATCAGACTTGCAAACATTTCCAATAAGAAAAGTATCTCCTAAAGTGATTCTCAAATGTTAATATATATAAGAAACTACTGCAAGGCTTGTGAAAATAAAGATGGCTCCACCTCCAAGTTTCCAATTCAGTTAGTTTGAACAGTTTCCAGAAAATGTTGACAATGATGTCTAAAAACTACACTTTAACAACACTGTCCTAAACTAAAATTTCAGCTAAAAATAGCCCTTCCCCAATAATAGAGCATACTTCACTTTATAACGATTTCTAGTATATCCCATAAGAACATTAAAGAAATGATCATCTTTGTATCATTAAAGTAAGCTAGGTATACTCATTTTTAACTGGTGCTGTAACATGTAGCCGTGGTTCTCAAATGAGAAAAGATGCAGCACCTGGCCAAGTAAAATGTTACTTACTATTTATTTTCGAAGTAGGTTGGCCAATGTGTCTCACTGAAAAATCAAATTCCTCTTCTTCAATTCCAAAGAAAAAATTATATGCATTCACCAAATTAATTTCAAGTTTTCCCTACACCTGTGACCAGGGCCACTCTTTGTCTATAGTAGAATCCAATTCTAAAAGGTATCTATTAGGCACTAAATGTGCCCCCTGAAAATCATGCCAATACCTAACCCCCCGAAGTGAGTAGATATGGAGATAGGGCCTCTGAAGTAGTGACAATGGTCAAATAAGGTTATAAGGGTGGGTCTTAATCCAATAGGTTAGCCCTAATAAGAAGAGGAAACCAGCGTTCCCTCTCTACCCTGTGAGGACATGGCGAGAAGGCAGTTGTCCTTGAGCCATAAGAGAGCCTTACCAGGAATAACTCAGCCAGTGCCTAAATCTTGGACTTTCCTGCTATTTAAGCCCATTCAGTCTATCGTATTTGTTAGGGCAGACCAAGCTAATATACTATCTGACTTAGCATGGAGTTTTTAATTAATTATTTCTCATACTGATGTGCAGAGAACAAACCACTGTATTGAAGAAAAATTTACATTCATAAAAGGCTACTATCGCCGGGACTGGTTTGGCTCAGTGGATAGAGGGTCGGCCTGCGGACTGAAGGGTCCCGGGTTTGATTCCGGGCAAGGGCATGTACCTTGGTTGCAGGCACATCCCCAGTAGGGGGTGTGCAAGAGGCAGCTGGTCAATGTTTCTCTCTCATTGACGTTTCTAACTCTCTGTCCCTCTCAATTCCTCTCTGTGTAAAATCAATAAAATATATTTAATAAATAAATAAGTAAATAAATAAATAAATGGCTAATATCCTTCTGGGTTGTCAAGTTTGCCTGACCTGGATTCATGTCCATTCACTGTCATTCTTCGTGTGTGTTTGTATGTGTGTGTTCACACACACATGCATGTGTGCATGTGTTCATTCTGTGCAAAGTCATCAATTTCTTTATAGTGAGTTTTATCAGCTTTCCAAGTGGCTCTGCTCTCCGACTCCAAATGTTTGTACTCCCAGCATTCCTTATAAGAAACACTGGATCATCTACTCCTATCAGTGATTTGAAAAACTATGTACTTGGAAAATCTTTCTCCAAGCTCAGAAGTTTGGTTTTTCCTCTTTCTCCTTACTTTCAGACTTGGCACTTTGCTGGGTGTGTCAAATTTCTATCATACTAAACAAAGACTGGGAAATTCTACTTCTAGTCCAGGTTCTTATTCTTTAATCTCTGTTTTTATAGTATACCTAAAGGTAAGGCTTAAGTTCTCTAAAATTTGAAACTGATTTAACTAAAATAATAAAAGCCTAAGAGACCATCGCAGCCAAATGGACAATCGAACAGGCTGCATGGGGCAACTAGGATGTCAGGGGATTGGTGAGGGACAACCAAATGACTGAGCAGCAGGCTGCGTGGAGTGACCAGGCTGGCAGGCAGGCAGGTGAGCAGTTAGGAGCTAGTGGTCCAGGATTATGAGAGGGATATCCAATTACGAGAGGGATATTATGAGAGGCAGTTGGACATCCCCCGAGGGGTCCCAGATTGGAGAAGGTACAGGCTGGGTTGAGGGGACCCTTCCCCCCATGCACAAATTTTGTGCACTGGGCCACTAGTGTGTGTGTATATGTATGTATGTGTGTGTGTGTGTGTGTGTGTGTGTGTGTGTATATATATATATATATATATATATATATATATATATATATATGCCTAAGCAATCCTTATGACCGAATGACCAAAATGACCAATTGCTGTATCATGTACTGACCACCAGGGGGAAGATGCTCAATGCAGGAGCTGCCTCCTGGTAGTCAGTGCACTCCCATAGCCAACCTCCCATGGTCCCTCTCCCAAGCCAGCCAATCTCCCAAAGCCCCTCCCCCAGGCCGTCTGGCCCCCAATAGGCCTCAATCACCAGCTAGGTTGAGGGACCCCACCCATGAACAAATTCATGCACTAGGCCTCTAGTAAATTATAATTTCCATTGTCACCATATCTAGTTTAACTAGATAATTTCCACTGTCACCATATCTAGTTTAATAAGCAGTTTTTTTTATTGGGAAAATACCCAATGATATCATTAGAGTTAAGATATACAACAGAAATATTCTTAATAATATAAGAAAGGGAGACTCAGAGTTTTGGCAGGGGGTTGGGAAACATGTTTAAAGAAAAAAAATGTTTGTTTTTAAATTAATTAATTATTAACCTTAAATTAGTTATTGCAAATTAAATTAGTTATTGCAGATTAGTATTTCTCAACCTTTTAGAACCCAGTTCTGATAAACCTAAAAATCTTATATAATCTTTGTTCTTTGATATTTAAATATATATATATATATACATATATATATATATATATATATATATATATATATAATGACTAAAATAAAATCAAGGCCATGATCATTTAGGGATATGGCTTTACAAATTAAAATTAAGCACATTTCCCACCCTGGAAATTGTGATACACACCACAACTAACCATGCCCTCAAACACAACCGTAAAACCACAAATTTTACAGACTACCAACTGTACATAAGGCCATAGTACTTGGTACAAAAAGTAACAAAGTACTTACTTTACTAATTGTCAATGCTGGTAGTGTTTCTGCATCTGTTTTTGCCAAATGAAGTTTATTTTCTGGCACATACAGTTCTTTTACTTCATAAGAGGCATCTACAGGTACAATATCCTATACAAAAACACAGATACAATAAACTGTTGAATTTTAGCCTTCTTCAGGGTTATTTTAATGAGAAAAACTTAAATTTAAAAATAACACTTTTAAAAAGAGGCATAAAAGAGGGATTTGAATGCTGTCCCTCCCCAATCAATTTTCCAAATATCAGTTGGTCTACCCTCAAGCAGATAAAATCCCCCATACAAGAAGTCTCTATGCATAATGTCCCATTATCTAGTGAAAAAGAAATTCCTAGAACATACCATATACCTTCAAAATCAGGCAACTGCATAGAAGACATGACTTTAAAGAGGTAATGATAAAAAGAATTTGGAAACAAACCAAAAAAAAAAAAAAATCCACTTAAACATAACCATCATTATCTTAAACATGTCATGAGAACATGCCACTTAAGCCACCTTTTCAGGAACATGACACAGTGCTCCACAACTTTAGGATTGAGAAACAGCACTTTTGATCCCATATGAAATATAGTCTGGAAACTTTATATAAACTCCAGATACCCATTTATATAACTCTAGAGGCCCAGTGCACAAAATTCATGCACTGGTAGGATCCCTAGAAGTTGCTGGCTGCCAGCTGGGTACTCCCTTCTCTTCCCCCAACCAGCCCTGCCTCCTTGTTGAACTCCTGGACAACTCCTGGTCGAGGGGACAGTTTGCATTCTATGCTTTTATTATGCACCATAGGATTGGGGCGGTCTTTAGCCTCATTTATCCTGCAAGGACACACGCGTAATCACCACAACACAGACACTCATTGGCTGCACACAGGTGATCATTACAAGGCTTGGTCACGTTTGTCACACTCCTGGGAATAATTACTAAATGTATATATATAATAATTACCTTAAATTTTTAAGCCGAATCTATCAAGTAACATTGGTAAGTATATAAAACTGGATTAAAGCTTCTTATACATTTATCTCGTCTGAGCAATACTTTTGTTATTGAAAATAAAGTAGGTGATTGTCAAGAGAATGATAAACCAAGCCATTGGCAAAGAGAAAGTATTTGCAATATGTTAGCCAAAATGTGCAAGATCTCTTAAAACTCAACAAGAAAACCCATTCAAAAACTGAGCCAAATATCAGAACAGACACCTCACCAAACAAGATATACACATCACAAATAAGCATTTGAAACAATATTCTACATCATATGTTATTAGGCAAATTAAATTTAAAACGAGATACCACTACAGACATATTAGAATGGCCAAAATCCAAAACACTGACAATACTAAAAACTAGTGAGAATACAGACCAACAAAAACTGTCATTGCTGATAGGAATGCCAAATGATAGACCGGGTGGAAGACAATTTGGTGGTTCCTTACAAAACTAAATTACTCTTATCATACAATCCAGCAATTGTGCTCCCTGATATTTCCCAAAATAAGTTGAAAACTTATGTCCACACACAAACCTGCTCACAGATGTTGATAGCAGCCTTATTCATAATTGTCAACACTTGAAACAACCAAGATGTCCTTCAGCAAATGAATGAACTGTGATGCATCCAAACAATGGAACATTCCTCAGCGTTAATGAGCAAGGAGCTAGGCAGCCTGGGGTGGGGGGGTGGGGGAGAGAGGAAATGCTGGAAACTTAAATGCATATCCTATATAATAAAAAGGTAACATGCAAACGGTCATTACACCATGACACATAACAACCAATCACCAGGTGGGCAGGGCAGGGAGCTCCAAGCCGGGAGAGCTACAGGATGGGGAGGTAGCCAGTTACAAGCTTTCAAGTGGGAGAGAGCGGGGTGGCCAGCTGAGGCAAGAAGTAGCGAGCTACTAGTGTGCACAGGGCCACTAGTTATTAAGTAAAAGAAGACAATCTAAAAAGGCTACATACTGTATACTTCTAACTATGTCACATTCTGGAAAAGGCAAAACTCTGAAGGTAGTAAAAAAGGTCAGTGGTTCCCGGGGTTGGGGACAGGAGGAGGGTGGAGGGCAAGATTAAATAGTCAGAGCACTGAGGATTTTCTAGGGCAGTGAAACGATTCTGTAATGATATTACAATGGTGGATACATGTCATCATACATTTGTCAAAACCCCAGGAGGTACAACCCTATTGTAACTTGTAAGTTATGGGTGACAATGATGTGTCAATGCGGTTCATCAACTGCAACAAATGTACCATTCTGGTGAGGGATGTCAGTGAGGGATGTTGACAGCAGGAGGCATGCAGAAGGCACATGAGAACTCATTCTCTGTGCTTTCTACTCAATTTTGCTGTGAACCTAAAACTGCCCTCTAAGTCCATTTAAAAAAAAATTAACAAAAAGTTATTCAAAATAAATATTAATGGGAAACCAACTTTTTTAAGGACAATCCCTATTATTTTTCCTAAGGAATACGTGTGAGAAGAAACTTCAACTTATATTTGGACTTACATTAATACTATGTGTAGAGAAAAAAGCAGGGTCAGATATGCGTATCAAAGCTAGATAACCTCATGAAAGGTATGGATGCCACTACTCAAGCAATCCCTGTGGGTTCTGAGAATCTAGGAACAATTATTCTTTGAGACAGTTCAACTCCAGCTAAATCATGTGCCAAAATCAGGCTATTCCTATGGGTAAAATTCTGGTGTTTCTCATCATAAACCCAAGATTAAATAAGAAGAATAAACATGGGAGGGGGGGAGAGAAAGAATAAAATTAAAAGAAAAGAAATAAGGAAACACTCTTTGCTGTCTTACCAAGTTCAGCCAATAGATTGCTCCTGGAATGTAGACCTGAAGGGCACTTTCTGAAGGCCCATTAGTCACATGCATGGCCACCCCACTGCTAACAGGAGGAAAGTGGGAAAGTAGAAACGTGTGTGGGGGGGGGGGACGGTGCGGGTGTGTGAAAACTGGGGAGGGGGGGAGGAGGAGAGGGAAAGAGGGAGAGAGAGAGATATATATAGAGAGAGAGAAAGAGAGAGAGAGAAACCCTGCACAACACAGGACACTTCATTAACCTTCTATACGAGGGGTGGGAACCTTTTTTTCCTGCCAAGGGACATTTAGATATTTATATCACTCATGGGCCATACAAAATTATTAACTTAAAAATTAGCCTGCTATATGTGGTCAAATATTCATTTAACTCACCCCTAATGCTTTAGCAGGGCCAGACCAAATGATTTCCTGGGCCTTATAGGCCCAAGAGTGGAACATTCCTTCCCCCTGTTCTAGAGCCTCTTTTGCAATTAAGCTACCAGCAGGTACCCACAGCTGCAGGTGTTTGTTATCTCTGCTGATGGTAAGATTATGTCAGCACATTCAAAGAACACTGGAGAAGGAAGAAAGCTCCCATCTGCTGCCTCTATCTTCTCTTTGTAGATGGAAATACCAAGCAACTTTTGGTGAATGAGACTTATCATTTCCAATGAAACAAGGTAGTAAGAAGGACATGTCTTAAGTTCTGCTGAGGGGTTCACTTCATTGTGTACCCGAAGAGAAAATTACATATAGAAAATACTCTTCCTTCTATCTGACAAGAGAAACAGATTAACTTAATCTAGTCCCGTGGTCAGAAAACTGCGGCTCGCTAGCCACATTCGGCTCTTTGGCCCCTTGAATGTGGCTCTTCCACAAAATACCACGGCCTGGGTGAGTCTATTTTGAAAAAGTGGCATTAGAAGAAGTTTAAGTTTTAAAAATTTGGCTCCCAAAAGAAATGTCAACCACTGTACTGTTCTGGGCTTCTAACTCCAGGAATCATTTTAATACACTTATTAAATATAATACATTTAATACATTAATACATGCACTTTAATACATTTTTAAGTAAAAAATAGCAGTAAAAAAATTGGAAATGAGAAAAGCACATTATCTTATATATGGTTATCATTATCATTTCTACATATTCCCTTCCAACTGTTTTTGCCCATAGGCACATTACAGGACAATTAATAGTTTTAGCAGTTTGTACAAAGCCCATTACTTCATCAACCACAAAATAAAAATTCAGAATCAACTTTTCCTATAAGAATAATGTAATGTGCATTAAGTGCACTGCACACACACCCTATATGTTCAATTAGTTTTTTGGATCTGTAAAGCTCTCAGAGATGTCAGGAGACATACACATTTTCCCAGCTGCAAAACAAAGAACTAATATCCTCCAGACTAGAAACAAATGCTAAAATTTACTTAAGTTACAAATAAAAGTCTGACATTCATTAGGACTTTTATGAGGAAGAGGATGGCAAAATGGAATTAAACTTAAATATTTACATTAATCACAATACATTAGGGACACATCATCTTCAAAACTAAAAAGAGATTCAAGAAAGCCAGAGGGGTCTGCAGGCCAGTTACTCCTGATGTTTGTATCTAAGATCTGAGTTCAGATTCTAACAGTGCAACCTTCAACAGGTTGCCTAACATCTTGAACCTGCCTTCTTCTCAGAGGTTTAAAAATAGTTAATGATTTCTTTCTTTCAGGGCCATTGTGACAATTAAATGACTACAGTATCTGAACTGCAGGGTTAATATTTACTGAATGCATTCTGTAATAGCAGTGCTGTCCTAGGAGCTTCAAATGAATTAATGCATTTAATCTCCATACACTTCTACCTATGACAGTGGAAGAAACTATCGCTATTCTACATTTTTACAGGCGGGGACATTGAGGCTCAGGAGAAAGGTTAGTAACTTGTCCCAGATTCCTGCTATATTGTCTTCCACCACAGTTAACACACAATAAATATTCAATAAGTAGTTATTGTAGTTTGCTTGCTACATGCCAGATACAGTCCTAAGCACTGGACTCATATTAGCTATTGAATCATCAGTACAATTCTGAGACAGGCAGATGCTATTATTGTTTCCCATTTACAGAACAGAGAATGAAAGCTACAGAAAAGTTATTATCCGAGGTGTACAGTTAATTGGTAAGTATTGGAACTAAGGTCCCAGTACAATTCTCCTCAAAAAAAAAAAAAAAAAAAAGTCCAAAACAAAGTTTTATAATTTAGTTTTTTG